AAGAACTAGACACTGTGCAGTGGTCGCTATATCTATCAATGAGTTACATTCGAAGATCCTTAAGTAGAATCATTGAACAGATTAACTTCAGATGATAGACGTTTTCATATAATCATTTAGCACACTACAAAACGTTGGCTTCTTTCTATCGTGAAAAATCTTATTTGTGAACCAGCGTTTTACACATTTCCATTTATGGCTGTCAATCAAACTGAATTTTGTACACATTCCACAATATGAACTGATTCAGTTGAATTAGGAAAATAATTATGTACACATTAGTGGAGTTATATACTCCTGACCTAAAGACCGATCTCCCCATTGGAAATTGTAATAACTGTAACTGATCCTAATGGAGTACGACTCAAGAACACAGGCAAACGTAGTTGACAGATGACAGTCCCGATCACCATCCAAAGATAACCAATTCAACAGTTCATTTCACCTTGATTTTATCAATACATTTCACTCGACAATTTGTAAATGCCACTCATTACTTTCGTCTCCATTTGATCTATATTCAATATGAGGAAAATTATCTCACAACAATCGACATTATGCAAAAATATACTGCAAAACAGAACTACGAAAACGGTTGCACGCAATAGCAAATGAAATGTTCCAACTTTAGAATGTATCTCGTTTGATCAACTTTCTCTCATTGGCCTACTGATTCGATGGCTTTTGAATGCTGCACATTCAGGAATAAGGTTTGAAAAATTGGGAATTCTGTCCGATTCCCTTGATCAACGATAACATCACACCAGATTCTATCATTTCTGTTACATTGTGTGCAAATATTTAAAGTAAAATATATTATCACTTCTTCAATCTCAGTGTAAATTATCTGACCATTTAATTAACAAAAACATATTTCTGTTGACCTCAGTTATTGACAGAAATATCAATGATTAGAACTGTGTTGTCGTCAGTCACCTCACGCCATCTCATTAATCAAATAATTTGGTATTATTCTATATCATCTATTATGTATAGTGGGCGTAATATGAATCTTATTTAGAGCAAAAAACAACGTTTTCCAATAATAACTTGATAATTAGCCACACGTTCATAAAAAAGATGAGTGAAATTCTCATTTTTCAAAAGATTACTACTTTCTATAAACAAAATGAAGTGAAAACAAATCTCTCGGCTGTCAATTCTTAGAAGGCTGTGCTCCATCTATGAATAAACACTGTTGGCATTCACCGTCCCATTTCAGATGAGTTTAGTGGTTGTTTCCTCACAGAATCATTTAGCTCTCACTTCCTCAGTTTATCAATCTATGGATCGCGCATTAATGATCCTGATTCTTTGAGACTCGACTAGTTATTACTTCCTGTGTATATCGGTCTATGAGACTGTGGTGAATCATCCTGGTGATAAAATCCACATCACGTTCTGTGTTCCATTTTATACCAATCACTGTGGCGGATAAACTCATCCTCATCCGATATTTTGAATAAACACATTTTACTATTGGCCAAATGTATGTTTTCACTGAATATTGAATATGGTTGCATATCATGGTTCAATGTGAGCGATCAAAGTTTACGTGAGGTTGAATACATTTTGGCATGTCATTTGGTGCTGAAGTTTGCCCTCACTTTTCAACAGATTTGAAATGCGCTCTTTTGCAAAGAAGCATTCGCAGTCGAATATTTAAATAGCATGTCAGGTTTGCACTGTCTCGCCAATTTCAGATTCATCGTTTTGGATGATTTTATTAAGGAGATAATTTAATTGAGCTAGACAATGTTCAGTGTTTGTAGACTGTCGGCAGAAAATCGTGTAGTCCGGTTTCATAGTAGTTGGTACAAGTCAGTATGTTATACTCTCAATCTTGAAGAAACCAATACTCCTCGTGTAATTCAAACTCATGTCCGTCAATTTCGCAGTATGAAAATTTACTGCTACGTTACAGTAAACACAACTGACATCTTGTAGTACAGAGATGTTCATATTTATTGATCAAAGCACAATTGTTGATGTCGTGTTTGTCTAGGAATTAAATACTGATGGAATTCCATCAATCAGCTATTCTACCTTTACTACTTATCAGTAACCAGTTATTATGAACTAATGATTCCCTTGTACTTGTTGACTGCTTGATTTCCAATTCCGAATACAATACTTTCGTTCGCGCTGATCTATCTGTTCTTGAGTTTATAGCATTATTCCTGGGATTCCTAGTTTGTACCACGATTGAAATACTCCCAATCATCACATTTACGGTTGAACATACATTCAGATTTGAAGTTTTTGCGAATTACATGGAAAGGTTGGAAATCTGGACTATAACCAAGGACGTAGTTGAGGATGTCAATATTGTGGCTCATTTCCTTTCATTCATCCGAAAATAAGCATACAGCTAAATAAATACATTTGCATCTGCTGACAAGCCGATTTCTCTTCGTTATGCAACTCTGAAGCAACTGCTACTGGACCATATAAACTATACAAATTTCGAATGCGTTAAAAGCGGAAATGTTCCTAAAATGATTCGTCAGAACATCAGGAGTCCCACAACATCACGCCGTCACAGTGCAGTGCGTAATCGAGCTTATTCAGATAACAGTTCATTGAGTTGTGAGACAGTTCACAAAGATAAGCGCAAGTTTGGTAAATGTTTGTTCTGTGGAATGTTCCACGCATATCATACGTGTGTATTTCGTAATTTGAAATGTTTTAAATGTGGTGAGATTGGACACAATCAGTTAGTTTGTAGTACTGCTGTTCATTTTTCTGCAACTAAAACTAAATTCTTTAAGTGTGATCCTACTTAGTTGTGAATTTCTAATGATAGGTTATCTTTATACATGATTTCATAAAGCAATATACAGTCATATGGCAATCCAGACTTAAATGAGACTCTGAATGATTGTGAGACAAAAGTTTCTAATCGATTAACTTCTTATCGAATTTCTCATGTTATTGCACCAGATTCAGTTCGTCCTTATGATTCACATATTTCTGATACAATTTTTTAGAAATTTGGGGAAATTATGTCGAGTGAATCTAATTATGGGCGAAATCCTTATGCAGTTTTGACAAACGCTGATTTTTCTAATGATACATTACTCACCAATGAAATTCATAATAAATTTGAAGAAAATATTTCAGAAGAATCAAATCAAATGTTCAGCATGCAATAATCACATCACACTTGACGGAGAAGCTTTGAAAGGTGTAAACACCTTCACAAATCTGTGCAGCATCAGTGATGAACACGGTGAAGTTGACGCAGACGTGAAGGCGTGGATCGGCAAAGTAAGAGCAGCATATTTACAAATGAAGAACATCTGGAAGTCAAAACAACTGTCTGTCAACAAACATCAAGGTCGAAATTTTCAATACAAATGTCAAAACAGTTCTACTGTATGGGGCGAAAACCTGAAGAACTACGTAAGCCATCATCCAGAAGATACAAGTGTTGAGTAACAGTTGTCTACACAAAATACTTCGGACTCGTCTGCAAGACACTATCAGCAACAACCTACTGTGGGAGAGAACAAACCAGGTACTAGCAGAGGAGGAAATCACGAAGAAACGCTGGAAGTGTATAGGTCACACATTGAGGAAAGCACCCAAATGTGTCACAATGCAAGCCTTCGCTTGGCATTTTCAAGGCCAGTTGGGAAGTTGACGACCGATGTGCACAATACGCTGAAACATTAAGACAGGCATGTCGCTAATAACTGTGAAGCAGATACATGTTTTTCATTTTGATTGTATTGCCGGTGAATTAATCGTGGATGAGACACATGTGGTAATTACACATATCAATACATAGTTTCCTATGTATCATAATGGGAAAAGGAAAAGGAATTTTTGTCGTATTTTTTATGCACGTCAAATACACATGATGGAAATCCTCAAATTATATGTTATCGTGTGTCGCCAGACGCTCACTTTTATCAATCAATGCGTGAGATATGAGATGATAATAAAAATTGAGAAAGTCAAATTGGTCCTGACATTGAGACGTAAGTAGCCCACATTCTTTCGTGAGGGAGGATACTGTTGAAAAAATCTATGATTCAAATTCTAGGTATCCGTAGTTGTACCACACAACTGACATGATGATTGTATATAATTACAGGACCCAGGTGATTCCGTTCCAATTTCAGCTTCTAATTCTAATAATAGTGAGTACATTCTATATAGTGCAGAGTTTTATATTCCGTACACTGTCGGACAGATATAGGATGAAATTAGGAAAAATACATATAATTGGTTACTGGAACTTGTGTTAGATATAGTGTGATTGTATGAATTAATGATTCCTTTATAACTTGACGACTAGTTGAGTTGACATGTCATATACATTAAATTCGATCATATTCATCTAATACAACTTGGTTAAATTGTAATATTTCTGGCAATCCTAATTTGTACCATTATTCAACTACATCTAATTATCACATTTCTTTATAAAAGTAAAAACATTTAATAGGTAATTAGATAAACTTCATTGATTGAAATCATGAGTCAATTGAAGCTAGAACACCATGGAAAACCTGAGAGCACTGTACGGCCGGTTCGTCGTAGTATGGGACTCCTCAGCAGTGCGCATTCACGATCCCGCACCCCGCCATATCCGAACGTAGGACGTATGAGTCTGGCATCAGGCGCTTAACCTACTAGACCTCCGAGCCGCCACCCAGCGGTGTTAATGTCTAACTTCAACCAATCACAAAGTTGCGCCACCGTACACCATTGTCTTCAGTGAGTCCTGAGTTAGAATCTCGCGAGGTGCCGGGTTGTGGATGCGCACTGCTGTGGAGCGTCATACTCGGACGAAATGGCCGTTCTATGTTTTTCCACGTTTCTCATTATAATCTAGATTCAATTGACTCATGATTTCAATCAGTTCAATTTCTAATATCTTCACAAAACGTTTCTGATAATTAGATAAACTATTCAACTATATATTTCATATAAAAATAGATGTGATAACATTCAGTATAGAATAGTTTTATTCACAGATATCTTAACATCTATTCATTGAAATGATTATATTTACACATTCTATTCATTCTATCTAATGGATAGTATTGGCATTCATTTCTGTTAATACTCTTATTATTATTATCATCATAATAATAAGAAATAGTTTCGTTTAATTTAGGCGCTAAAACTGAATTATCACATTTCAATATACAATGAATACAATTCTCTTGTTGTTGTCGTTGGTGTTGTTTAATAAATAGATGAATATTTTCATTGATTGTATTAGAGTATAACATACAATTATGACGGTATGTATCATATGATCTTTGAATTGGATACGCTTTTGTATGATATTTGAAATACGATGAATATGGATTATTGATCATTGAATTTGACATTAATTCATTTAAACAAAACTCATTTGTATAAATTAGATTCAATAAAAGAGTTTGATTTGAATTGAATGATTTCTCATCACGATTATTATTATGATTATGATTATCATTTTGAAGAAATGATGTTATTGTACAATTAGAATGATTACTATCATAAATTGAATTGATGATAGATTGAAAAGGATCTTGTTTTAATTCACAACAATCATATACATAACTATCATGATCATTATTGGTTTGATTAGGTAGAATTAAAAGTTTTCTATTTGAACATGTGGAACATTTTGATTCAGATTGAATATTGAAATTGTTGTTTAACTGATGTTGACAAGTATTATCTAAGTTACATAACAAAACACAAACACATGTACACACACACACCACGTAATTGTACATCATAATTTGACTTTCATCGAAAAATCTATCAAAAACGAGAATAGTTTGATCAAGCTATATATTCAATTGTTGATAATGAATAATAAGACATTCTGGGGAGACTATAATTTCTGAACGAACCGATCAGCTATATGATAATAGGTCTCGGATTTTGCCGCGAAATTCACCCCATACATTTGGGCAAATAGCGTCTTGGCGTTATAGCTGATGTCGATTCGTGATGAAAACACTAAATCTAATTTCTAACATTAACCGGCAATTGTAAATTATAATTCTAATTCTTCACATAGCTTTGTAACCTCCATTTGGTCTTAGTTATTAGCTGAACACTCTCAAAGTCACTTTAGTGTTTGCTCAACGGTTGTCCATAAATTATAGTCTCATTGATAATCTTAGTTAGATGCAAAATATTTCATATAGTTAGGTCTGTTTTTGAATTCAATTTAAGAAGGAACAATGATAATACAGCAGTTGTTTTAAATGTATACTTAGTAAATAGAGGAGATCAGTATACTGACACCAATGTATCAGCTGTTAATTCATCTCTGATTCATCGATTTAGAGTAATTATTAACTTCTTGATTCTTCTTGCTATTGTAATTTATGTATAAATAAAATCATAGTGATGTAATACATGACATTATTATGAACAACATCTAGCGTCTTTTTTTTTCCGTACTCAATCGTACTCTGAGGTAAATCTACATCGACAATCGATACAACTGTAGAAGTTGATCAGTCTAAGAGTGCTCATTTCAAAGTTATAAAAACGTTTACTAACTGGTTTTCTACATCAGAAGTCCACGTAAATGCTTTCTTCAGTAAAATATGACATCAAGGAATTTCGTGGTTTATGTTAAAAACTAATAATAGTCAGATAACTAATTAAATCAAGAAGTTTCAGATGCCAGTTTTACCGTGATATGAAATTCGTCAACAATACGTATTCTTGAAACCATCACAGATGGAACTTGGAACTTCTGAGTCACTCATAGAAGGATTAACTTTTATAACCTTAGGTCGGGATCAAACGTTTTATGTACTGAACAGTTGTTTTATATTAGCACAAAACTGCACAGTGGAGAGTAAATCATGTGTCATCACGTTTATTGAAGAGTGACTAACATTAAACAACTTAGAAACAATTAAAACTAATGTCTCGTCCAGTTTAGGATTCACTAGATGAATATACTCACATCCTAGTGCAGTTGTTGACATCTGAACTTGAAATGATGAACTTTTTCTCAAAACTCTGATGTTTGGTTCATAGAATGTCTGAGTTTAGATTGTCACTTACTTATTGATTGAGAACACTTGCTCCGAAATACATGTGCATACAACTGAGGAATCCAGAATGGGACGAAATAGGACTACTAGATTCTACTAGTATTTATAATTAGCTTTTCCAAAACATTTTTTGCAATGGCTATATCGAAACAATTCTAACAGGACTTACATATATCAACAAAGGATGATTAAAATTCAGTCTTAAATATCAACAACAGTATGAATAAAATCTCCGCTAATATTAGTACTACACTCTTCGGTTGATGATTTAAACTTCAGTCGATGTTTGACAAAGTGCGACATGATTTCATCACCATTGGTGACCTTGCTGCAATGATCTGCATATTTGAAATCTATAGTTTACTAATTCTTGCTAGGCTTTCAGAAATACTTCTATATTTGTTAGGTTCGTTAACCTTGCAGGATACTACTGATTCGACTTATTCGGAACGGAACGAAGGCTCAGGACTCAGAGACTCAATAGACTATTCTGGTCCGTTGTCTTCGACTCAGCTAACTCGATCAAGAAGTCTTGGTAAGGCGTAGAAAGTGTATTCTTCAAGCAACAGCAGATACCAAGTCAGGCAGGCAGATCAGATCAAGCATACAAGTCAAGCGTATTTATACAAATATATATCGATTTTGTCATAGGAAATTTTTAAACAATAATTAATGAGTCATCAATTGTCTGCTATTTAAAAATTTAATCGATAAGTTCATCAACTGACTGCCATTCAAATATTTAAACATTTAATCGATATGATAAAATTACAAAATATGAGTTTGGGGATATACCGGCCTCAACAATATTCCAGTTCCTTTTGAAATTAGAATTATTTTTAGAATAAATTGTGTTTACTTATAAAAACCGAGAATGTCGCACTATAATTTTGTCAGCAAGATGGTTAATAACCAGCAATGGAATTCAGGATGCTTGTTTCCTACTATGTGAGATTTGTCCGCTGCATGTACCTGCATCTCAGTGTTGACGTTTACTCCGGGATTCGAACTCAGTAGTGTTCACTTGGAACTCCACTGCGTTGTAAGAATTAGGTACTGAATGCTGATAGCCACCTGCTTGTGCAATAGAATGGAGTTTAAAACCGTTTGATATCCATTTTTGCTCATAGTTGTTAAATCTAAAGCCAATTCATGATACAAACTACAAATTGTGAACATTCACTGTAATCATCGTCCACTGAGCTACTCAATCCTGTTAGCCACCTGTTTGTGCAATGGAATGAAGTTTTAAATCACTTGATATCCATCTTTGCTTATAAAGCTAGTGATTTAAGGCAATATTGAGATAATCCTCACAGGATGCACATATGTCAACAAGAGACTGATCAATTACAGTCCTAAACAACAATGGAAAATACAAGCAAAAAGTATGAAGAGTATTTACACTGTGAACATTCACTGTAATCTGCGCGTAGGTGTGTGTACATTTCTTATCCCATTACTCACCACATCTCTGTAACTTACTTTTGTGCAAGTATATATATTGATTAACGCTTGGTTGAATGGGAGTTACGATACCAGCCATCTCCACTCTGATTCCTTTCTATTCTCTTATTCCATTCGCTTTATATACAAAATATATGTATTCACAAGTCCATTCCCGTTATTTGACTTATTCAATTAAATTAGTGAGTAACACGATATAAGGCGATGATTATATAAGACGATAGGCGATAACAGACATTCAAACGATCGGAAAAAATTCAGAACACGGGCCACTAAAACAAACTATCATTGGAAATCATCAACTGCGTAGGATCAGAACTACACAATTGACTGTTAGCTGCAGAATAATGAACATTTAAAATTACGAAATACACATGAATGATTTGCGTGAAACTTGCCACACAACAAACATTTACCAAACATGCGCTTATTTTTGTGAACTGTCTCACAACTCAATGAATCATTTCAGAAACATTTCAGCTTTTAACGCATTCGAAATTTCTATACTTTATATGGTCTAATAGCAGTTGCTTCAGAGTTGCATAACGAAGAGAAATCGGCTTGTCAGCAGATGCAAATGTCTTTATTTAGCTGCATGTTGACATCCTCAACTACGTTCTTGGTTATAGTCCAGATTTCCAACCTTTCCATGTAATTCGCAAAAGCATCAAATCTGAGTGTATGTTCAACCGTTCTATCACATGCTCCATTGGGACGCAAATGTGATGATTGGGAGTATTTCAATCGTGGTACAAACTAGGAATCTTAGGAACAATTCAATAAAACTAAGAACAGGTAGATCAGCACGAACGAAAGTATTGTATTTGGAATTGGAAATCAAGCAGTCAACAAGTACAAGGGAATCATTAGTTCATAATAACTAGTTACTGATAAGTAGTAAAGGTAGAATAGCTGATTGATGGAATTCCATCAGTATTTAATTCCTAGACAAACACGACATCAACAATTGTGCTTTGATCAATAAATATAAACATCTCTGTACTACAAGATGTCAGTTGTGTTTACTGTAACGTAGCAGTAAATTTTCATACTGCGAAATTGACGGACATGAGTTTGAATTACACGATGAGTATTGGTTTCTTCAAGATTGAGAGTATAACATACTGACTTGTACCAACTACTGTGAAACCGGACTACACGATTTTCTGCAGACAGTGTACAAACTCCGAACATTGTCTAGCTCAATTAAATTATCTCCTTAATAAAATCATCTAAAACGATGAATCTGAAATTGGCGAGACAATGCAAACCTGACATGTTATTTAAATATTCGACCGCGAATGCTTCTTTGCAAAAGAGCGGATTTCAAATCTGTTGAAAAGTGAGGGCAAACTTCAGCACCAAATGACATGCCAAAATGTATTCAACCTCACGTAAACTTTGATCGCTCACATTGAACCATGATATGCAACCATATTCAATAGTCAGTGAAAACATACATTTGGCCAATAGTAAAATGTGTTTATTCAAAATATCGGATGAGGACGAGTTTATCCGCCACAGTGATTGGTATAAAATGGAACACAGAACGTCATGTGGATTTTATCACCAGGATGATTCACCACAATCTCATAGACCGATATACACAGGAAGTAATAACTAGTCGAGTCTCAAAGAATCAGGATCATTAATGCGCGATCCATAGATTGATAAACTGAGGAAGTGAGAGCTAGATGATTCTGTGAGGAAACAACCACTAAACTCGTCTGAAATGAGACGGTCAATGGCTACAGTGTTTATTTATAGCTGGAGCACAGCCTTCTATGAATTGACAGCCGAGAGATTTGTTTTCACTTCATTTGTTTATAGAAAGTAATAATCTTTTGAAAAATGAGAATTTCACTCATCTTTTTTATGAACGTGTGGCTAATTATCAAGTTATTATTAGAAATCGTTGTTTTTTTGCTCTAAATAAGATTCATATTACGCCCACTATACATAATAGATGATATAGAATAATACCAAATTATTTGATTAATGAGATGGCGTGAGGTGACTGACGACAACACAGTTATAATCATTGATATTTCTGTCAATAACTGAGGTCAACAGAAATATGTTTTTGTTAATTAGATGGTCAGATAATTTACACTGAGATTGAAGAAGTGATAATATATTTTACTTTAAATATTTGCACAGAATGTAACAGCAATGATAGAATTTGGTG